TGCTTTGTGTTCTTTGCAACCATGGTTTTGGCAAGATGGTTTTACGTCGGATGCCATTCCTGACACAACCCTTTTAGTCGCCTCTTACGACAGGCAGGGATACCCAGGAGGAATTCTGATCCCTCTCCCTAGGGATAAATACCAGTACTTTATCGCCAGGTTGAAATTCTCTCGCAATTATAAACTTGTTTTTGTTGAGCTGTGCTTTCTCCAGGTTTTCTTTCACAATGGGAACAATGTTATGTTAATTCGTTCTCTCATTTGTTCCACATGCTCGATGATGGTCTGTAAAGTTGAGGGTTGGTGTTCCCAAGATTCCTTAACCACGTCTAATAGGCCCCGTGGTTTCCGAGAGTATAGCAATTCAAATGGGGAAAAACCGGTCGAGGCCTGTTGCACTTCTCGTACTGCGAACATGAGATACGGGAGCAGCTGATCCCAATTTTTCCCATCCTTTTGCATATCCTTCCTCAGCATGCTTTTCAGGCTCTTATTAAAACGTTCGACTAGCCCATCGGTTTGAAGGTGATAGACCGAGGTTCGGATCTGATGTATTCCCAGTAGCTTACATAAGTCTCACATGACTTTAGACATGAAAGGAGTTCCTTGATCAGTTAAGATCTCTGTAGGAATTCTGACCCGAGCAAACAGTTGTTCTAGCTCCCTAGCTATATTTTTGGCGGTGGCAGCTCTCAACGGAATGGGTTTGGGGTACCTTGTAGCAAAGTCCACTGTCACTAAAATATACTGGTGACCTTTGGTGGTTCGGATCGGGGGCCCCACCAAATCTATCCCAATCCATTCAAAAGGGGTTTCAATAATTGGGAGGGGAATCAAAGGGTTTCTATAATAAGGTTGTGGAGCAGTTTTCTGACACTCCGGGCATTCCCGACAGTACTTCTCAATGGCCTTATAGATCCCTGGCCAAAAGAACCTAGAGAGTAGTCTCTCGGACGTCTTCTTCACCCCTAGGTGTCCACCCAGGAGGTGGCTATGGGCCAAGTTAAGGAGCTTCATCTGGTAGGCCTGGGGAATCAGGAGTTGTTCCACTTCTTCCTGTCCCTTCTGCTGCACCTGATAGAGGAGATTATTTTTTATCATGAAATACGGGTAACTCAATGTACTAGGATCAGTACACCACTTCCCATCGATTTTCCTGACATGTCCCCACGCATGCTTCAAATTTCCATCTTCTAATGCGGCCCCAAACCTACCACGATGTTCTGGTGGCTCCAAGTCTGGTAAATCCATATTTACGAATTCATCTCCAAGTCCAGTTGCTCCTTCTTGTGGGTCCGTCTCATCTGGGACATCGTTAGGGGCGTCACCTCAGCCTTCCGGACAGGGAATTGGTCTTCGCCTAGCTGTTTGGACAGTGTTCCAAATTTGGAGGAAGTGGGGACAGTCTCGTCCCAGTACCACAGGGTAAGGCAACTGCTCAACCACTCTGACAGTTGAACGGTAGGTCCCCTGTTCCGTAGAGATGCTAATTTCTACCGTCGGATAGACCTTGTGAATGCAAGTAATGGGTATCCCCTCTGTTCCCCGGATCTCCAGTTCTCCAGGAAGTATTGTAGGGGTCACCAGGGTCACAGTACTGCCAGAGTCCAACAAGGCCTCGACAGGTTCTCCCCCATCTCGATTTTCATAAGATGGGGATCCTCGCGGGTTGGGACCTGTGCTGTAAGGTAGTTACACTTGGCTTCATCTCTGGGGTCTACCTGCATGGGTTCGGACAGGCCGGGGCAATGGCTGACTAAATGCCCTTCTTCCTGACAATTAAAACATCGGGTTTCTTTCCATGGTCGGGGCCTTGAGTCTGATCTGTCCCTAAGGGGTTTCTTAAACTGTGAAGGCCCTCGATAATCACTGTACTTTATCGGCCGATACTTCATTTCGGTTTCCAGACTCTTGGGGCTTCTTCTCTCCTCTTTTCGAAAGTCCCCCTTTTCCTCCCTAATCAGGGGCTCTGTAGCATGGTGTCTGTCCACTAAGCCCACTGCCTGATCTAGTGTCTGGGGATCCCCACCACTTTCCTTCTCAGATGAACAGGTAGACTCCTCACAAAGTGATCCAACACCACCCTTTCTTCCACCTGTCCTGGGTTTAATTCTTCTGGCTGGAGCCATTTCTTTGCCAGATGTATGAGGTCAAACATCTGAGACCTCGTAGGCTTGTCCATTTGGTATCTCCAATTGTGAAACCGGACCGCCCGTATTGCCATGGTTACCCCTAGTCTTGCCAAAATCTCCTTTTTCAGAGTCTCATAATTCTCTGCATCTTCTTCATAATAGGCCTTTTGGGCTTCTCCAATTAAATAAGGCGCTACTCTCCCGGCCCATTGCTCCTTGGGCCATGCATTTCGAGATGCAGTTCTTTCAAATATGGTTAAATAAGTCTCCACATCATCAAGTTCTGTCATCTTTTGTAGCCCAATTTGTTCAGCCTGAACAGTGTCTCTCCCTGTTACTGGGGTCTGCCTGAATTCTTCCCCTAATCTTTGCAATTCTTCTCGTACTAATTTCTGCCCCTCTATAATTTGTTCGTTAGTTTTGGTTTGAATTTGATTTGCCTCCCGTTGAGCTTGGATAGCTTCTTGCTGTCCTTTTAAAGCCTGAAACTGGGCGAGGGTGGCCTGGGACAATTGCTGTATTAGCTGTTCCATTGTTTTTCTCCACACACACAAAGCGAAACCCACACAGCGAGTGCCCGCATCCTCCACCAATTGTGGTGTCGCCAGGGGAAAACAGGTGTAAAAGAGATGTAACTCACACCACACTGATCTTCTTTGTCCTTCGTCCGTATGTTTCCCAAGTCCGTTCCGTAATCCGTTGCCAGTATCCTTAAACGATCCAAATTTCCGAGCCCGTATGTCCAAACTAAAGGACACTCCCAAAGGAAAGAAAAATGTTTTATTTCTGTAGTTCTCTGTAGGATATTGCTTTGAACATCATAAACTACAGAGTGCTTCCAGGAACAAAATACCAGCAAGAATGAAACTGGACTTGTAATGTCTAGGATGCACTAGAAGCTGGAAACCTGAAATGGCTCTAGAGAAGGTGATCTCTGTGCACTTTGGTACCCAAAGTGATTGTGAGCAAATTGAGTCTCTAGATTACTTTGTAAAGAGGAAATGAATGATATTGTTGTGTACTGATATGGATGTGTAGATTGGCATCATGAGGAACAAATGAAAACAAACATTGTTACTTTAAAACTCAGGTTACTCTGATCAGGTAGGGAGCCAGATAATTCTGTCAGCTCTCGAGTCTGGCACTTCCTTTTTCAGAACAGCTAAACTCAAGTGTCAGGCACTGTACTTCTAAGGTCAACTGCAAAGGCAGATTTTAGGGAAGAGGAAAAGAAAGCTGATAGATTCATTATTGAAGAACTGAAACTTACAAGTGAGCAGTATATGAAGTTTTAAAAGAATGTTTGGAAGGAGGTCAAAGTCCAATCTCATCACGTCTGCCCGTGTTTAAATCTCATATTTATATCTTGCTTGTGTGTTTTGTTTCACATGATGCGTGCAAGTCTTCACCTGTTCGAAGGGACCCCAAACTCCAGAGCAAGCCGCTGAACTCTACCCCGCATCTGACGCTGAATTTCTCCCAGTGTCATCATTCCTGAGAACTGCAATCTCCTGTCTCTCCTACATGTCTGCTCACTATTCCCGTTTTTCCATTATTCCAGCCTCTGTCTACCTCTATCCAGCTACACCAGTTGGCTCACACCTCCTAGAGCTGCCCAATCCATCTGTCTGAGGCTCTTCTCCTAACATGACACGTCAGGTCAGCCACACCAGTCCAGCCTTTCCCAACCTTTCTCCACACCACGGACAACAGCCTACTCCCCCTGTGGCCTCACTGCCCTCTCCTTCTTCCTCATGCCATCCTGCTGACCACAGCACCTCCACAAGCACAGCACACCCGGGTCCAGCTTCTGTGAATCCCTTCTTCCCCTCCGCCGTCCCCTTCTGCCCCACTGGTTCCCTTCTCCTTTCTTCTCTTTTCATCTGTCTGAAGACAACAATTTCATGAAGAAGCTCACAGGTGGAGCTGTTGACCATCAGCTCCTCAGCCAATGCAAGTCTGTGATTTACCAAGAAAGCAGAGTTTGGATCTGAAAGAGGAGCAGTTAAATACCTCATACAGTATAAGCAGGGTATTAGATTAGTGGAGACAATGCCAGACTATTCGTGGCAGAGTTTGATGTGAAGTTAGAGAGCTGCAATCAGGAGTCGGATGTGAAGTGACAACAATCGAAGAGAGTATGTTGATCAGGAAGCAAAAAAGGTGTGAGCAGCTTACTGAGTTGTCCTAGCACAATAAGCACTAGGATACATTGGACTTAAGGGAATTGGAGTTGAATGTTCTCAATAAAATCCAAGACCTGAACCAACAACACTACATTATCATTAGAGTTCCCTCATTAATTTCTTTCAATATGCACATCTGTGAGTGTGGCATAAATGTGTAGTGTTATGGCTCTCTGCATTTTGACAGGTCCATGACAGCTGTGTGTCTCACCAGTGTGATAAAATGATGCTTAATAACATTTTAAAGCAAAAAGTATTCATTCCCTCAGTCTACAGATATATGAACAGTTAATGAACAGGCCTCCATTACAAAATTAACTATTGAAATGTTGTTGCATTATGTACGTTTAGAAAACGTTTTCTTAATGGTTATAAATGTCACACTTATTAACAGCATCTGTTGTTGATTGCTGTTGATTTAGCAGCAGGTTGGAAGTCCAGAGCCAAGCTGGAACCTTTCTGCAGCCCTGCCACAGGGAAGATCGTGCTGACAGCTGTGGACTCAGGGAAGAGTGAGCATGTGAGCCTCATCAAGACCTCTTTCACTGGGGCTCATGCATGGACTTGCCCAACAGGTGTTGGCTGTGCAGTTTCTCTCCATGGTAAAAACAAACACTGCTGTTTTTCTCAGTATCACCTCATAGCATCATATTTATTTTATATTAAGATATGCTGTTTCTATTCTTATCAAGTCATCTTCAAAATCTTCGAATCAATAATTATTTGCCGTGGAAAATTGTCTGTAGAAACATGTCTCGTCCAAACAGGTACATTTCATTATTGCCATTAATGCCTTATTTCTTACTTTCTGATCTCACGTTAACTCTTTTATCTCTCAACTTACCAAGATTACAGGTAAAAAATGCATCCCCCGTCACCTGCACTTTAGATCGAAGGCTGTTACATTGTCTGGATCACTTGTGCTCCTCCTTCCTTCACCACTCTACCGAGTGAGACCTGGGAGCACCGGTATGTGCTGAGCATGTTTCTGCTCAATGCAGCTGTGTTTTAGGTTGGAGTCAGTGTTTTTACAGTTTTGAGGCTCGAGGGAACAGACTACTGTTGCAGCAGATTCACCTGGACCCTTACGAAATGCCTTGACGATTAAAACATTTGCTCCCAAAAGAGAAGGTTCAGAATGAGGTGGTGGTATTAGTTAAGTGCTGACTTCCAAATTAGCAAGATGGGTGGCCACCTCTTGTTTGTAATCTTTTTTTGTTTATGCTCTCTTTCAGACCACCCAAGCTTTCAGATTCCAGTCCAACGGTGCTCAAGGTAAAGTATTGTGTCTAGTTATCTCCGATCCATCTAATCTAAAACGAAATCATGAAAACACAAACACTTATTAGTAATTAGCTCAGAATGTGATCTACTGCTCAGGACTTTTTGGGCATTAGGGGCTGCTAATATTGGTCACTTGTATTATGGGTTCAGAAGAGTAAACTTTATGGGTTTTAATGCTGTCATTTTAATCTTTGGAAGGAAACAAAGCAATCATGGTTCACGTACAATTTTGTATGGCTTTCGGATTATTGTACAGCAAAACTAGAAAAACGATTTCCTATCTTACACAAATATAATTACCTTTCACTGCTGCAGACAGGGTTACACACACAGATTCACACCAAAAAGGAAAACACTCACTTTTTAAAAGGATATATTGTGAGCTGCAGGACATCAGTCTGGGAGTATTTTAAACATGTCTGGGTTTGCTGGGTGTACAGACTGTTCAAGTCAGTTTCATTAAAAACCCTCTTTTTTCACTCTTACATTCCCTGGTCTGTCTTTCAAGTTAAAGTTCAAACACTCAAAGTACTTTATTGGTGTGATAAAGCCAACGTTCACACTGTATTCACCTCCATTTGTCTTTTTCTTTTTCCCATCCTGCCTACATCTCCTCTTTCTTCCCCCGTCCTCCACTCTAACTTTGTCCCCATGTCTGGTAGGTGTCTCTCCCTCTGTTTTTTCTTCAGTAGGGCTTTCTCCTCGTCTCTGTGGTGCTCAGTAGTGGTCTCTCCCTCGTGGAAGTGTCTTATATGTCTTCTTCCCTTTTATTGTAGTGCGAACAATATGTCCGTGCTTTTTTGTCCAGAGGAGACGTCTCTCTGCCTGGAGTGTGCTCGGAAGTCACTCCCCTTGTCAACGGTGTGTGCTCGATACTCGTCGTTCCCTCTCGTTGAGGCGTGTTGAGTAAGTGTTTCAGGCCCCAGTCTGACAGCATCTCCACACTCCAAAACAGTGAGGTGTGGACAACAATGACAGGGGGGAACAAACAGATGGCAACACTAGAGAGCAGCCCCTTCAAGACCCTGTCCTGCAGGGAAACCTTCCCCCCAGGACTGGTGTCTGTGGAGTTGTGTCCCTGGAGTGTACTTGTGTGAGCCATCTGGAGCTGCGTGGCTGTCCCAACCCTCTGTTTCTCCCTCTGTGGGTCTGGCAGGCCAATGCGTGCTTCTGTGAAATATCCTACGTGAGTTGCAATGTCGGGTTTTCCAGCTGCAGCGTGCTTGAGCTCCACCTCATCGCTTAAGCAGCCAGTGAACAAATGTGTAGCAGCAGTGTGTGCTTTCACTACGTGTACACTATATAGTGTGTCTCCCCATCGCACACCATGTGTGTTGTAGACAATGAGCCCTCTCTCATGGTCTGTCAGGGAGCCTGCCTGCCCTGTCTGGCTGTCCGTCAGGCTCCCTCGAAGTGCTCTCAGGCTCAGTGTGAGGACGAGGCACAGAGCAAGAGTGGGCAGGATCAGGCTGGGATTGCACAGGGGTCGTAAGGTCGCAGTGATCAGGTTAGGGAGGCAGACAGAGAGAGAGCCACCATCCCAGAGACAGTCTTCCACCAGGTCCTGCTCCAGACCCCACTGTTGCCAGCCATGGAGGGCAGACAGGATCCAGACCAACAGGCAACATAGCAACCCAGGAAAGTGTACCACAGACTCTCTGTCTCCATCCACGTGCCCTTTTCCTTTCTTTCTCCTATTGTGATTACAGCCTTTTGTCCAATCTTTCTCCTGTATCGTGCCATGGCCTCCCTGTTTTCTTGTCTCTCTCTCTTCTTGTCCCTCCAGCCATGGGAGGGGCCAGAGCAGCCTGCAGACTGTCTCTACAGTGATGAGGGGTGTGGTCAGAACCAGTATGGCCCCGTAGGTGTGGCCAAGGAAGAGCAGGAAGCGCAGGGCGATGATGTCACCGGACACAGGAAAACGTGGCATCCACTGGTCAGCCAGCCAGAGCAAAGCCAAGAAGGCTGAAGAGAGAGAAAGGGGAGGCACTGCAGGTGTTAGCACACAGATAAGGGGGTAAGGGCAAAGTTAAAGTACATTATGTAATTCTCATTTACATTTCATGTGTTTTATATCCAGTGCCACTTCTTAAAAATTAAATTTTTGTAATATGTGCTTCAGAATTTGCAATCCAAAGTATTGCAAAAGAGAAATATCACTTTGTATTTACTGACATCTCTATTTCTAGTATTCTGAAAAGGTCAGTGAGTGACCAAGCAGGACAATAGGGACAGCAGCCAAAGAGTCAATGGAGACCAGAGGAAAAGTAACAGTCATGTCTCTGAGATGTAGCCTGCTGGAGCATAGTTGTATAGGCAAACATACAAAGATAATGATTCTGCGAGTGTTTGACAGAAAGGGTGACAGAAAGTACTCATCTCTGACAGCAAAATCAAGAAAAAACAGCAAACAGTCACAGAACGAGCTAGACAATGAGAGAGAGAAGTACAGAGGGTGACATTAGGAGTGGGATAGCAGCAGGTCACAGACAGAAAGAGGGTAAAGAAAGAGTGATGTCTAGAATGATTGGGGAATACCGAGAGAAAGTGGCACAGTAAGTGAAAGAGGGATACTGACAAGAGACGGCAACTCAAGAAGTGAAAAAGCGAGAGAGTGTAACAGGAAGTGAAAGAGGAAAACAGAGCTAGTGATGAGTGTGAGCAACAAGACAGAGAGCATGATACAATAATTTCAGTAAGGAGGGACTGGAGATCTGTACCTGTGACACTGACATCGGTGAACAGCAGCAGACAGTTACAGCAGGAGGCAATAGAGATCACTGGAGCTGTGACACTGGGCAGAGTGAGGAGGTTACACAGCAGCTTACATGCTCCCAGACGAACAGCAATCTCCAGAACGCCACACATCCCTGAGGAGTAGAGAGTCAGGCTGGTGATTTCACCTTTCCAGACTGATCTGTGAGCTGTATCACACAGCACATCTTTCAAGCGGCTGTTTGCAGTTTATTGTGCAATGTACGTTTCAGGTTTAGCACTTAAAATGGGTATACAATCAGAAACTACAGAAATGTTTCGAATCAGAATTCAGAAAAAAACAAGAGGAGATAACATTTCCCTTATTCTAACATTATGTACTGAAATATTTTAAAACACGTTTCAGAAAGAAAAGCTCATCAAGAGCAGCAGAATTGACAGAAACATTAACTCCTGAGCGGGGCCCCTACACATCCGTTGCCTCTATTTCCTTAGTGTTTTTTGTGCTGCTGAAATAAATGGATTATCAGCCATTTTTTCACTGGGTACAGAAGCTGACTTCTGCGATCAAGGTGCTGCGTGTGTCCTAACAGCATTTGAATTGGCAACCCCTGGCGTCAAATACATAATTCATCCTGCTCATTGTTTAAGCTGCCAAGTCCTTCGATATTGTCTTACCGTAGAACAAAGCATCTACTCTGCTTTATATGAATGATCTACAGATCCCCCTGATAGGAATCAAGTGGCAGATATAACAATATTGTTTGTGTGGGTTTCCTTCTGGACAAACTGGCCCAGATTATATTATAAATTGTGAGCCAGTAGGTGTTTGTGTCTGTGTGTTCCCTTTGATGGACTGGCATCCTGTCCAGGGCCAATTTTCCCAGAAGCCATATTCTACCGTTACTCAGGACTCTAGGAGGAAACACGACCACCTGGAGGAAACCCACACATAGATGGGGAAAACATCAAACTCCACACAGACAGCCCCTCAGGGATTGAACCCAGGGCTTCAGCACTGGAAGGAAATGCATGTTCTGTCTGTTTCAAAATAGTAATGTGGGTGAAGTTAATGTTGGTGTCAGATTACTTAGGTGTAAACATCAGTGTGCACATAATATACAAAACTGAAACATCTGCCATTCCTGTCCAAATATGGAACAATGTCTAAAAACCTTCTGTCTGAATTATAAATATTATTTTCCCTATTTTCCTCTGAACAAATTAACATAATTCTGTAACAATAAAAACCGGGTGGTAAAATTAAAGTTAAAATTAGTGCAAAGCAGGGGATGAAACAGAAAACAATTGAAAACTGAAAATACTTTACAATTTAGATGCTAGTTTTGCAATAAAACATCTGGTTAATTATGGAGCCTGTAAACATATTGCCACCCTTAGATGTAAATCAGTATATTTATTTTTGAGCATCCAATTTCCTAAGTAATTTAATAAGAGAGTCAGAAACAAGAGGAGGCCATTCAGCCCATCTAAGTCCCTTTGGTAATTAGTAGCTTATTCTTTATCATCCAGCTGTTTCTTTAAGGAAGCCAGGATATCCACTTAACCTGGGCGGACTGTTCCACACACCCACAGCTATAAAGAATAGGCATTTGGGTGATTTCTTAAAATCACTGAAATAGCAGGAGGTTCAGCTAGAGATTTTTTTAGCAGTTAAAACTTGAAACTGCACTTTAATTGTAACTTTCTTTTGCATTTCTTTAGAAATGCCACAATTCACAAACACATGGGGGTTAGAAAGTCATCACCGTGAGCATGATTCTTTCAGAGTATGTGTCTTATTTTAATGTTTCTCCCGATTTTAAAAGCAGTGTTATAAATGTACTATTATATAATTAATTCATCATCAATTATTTTATTAATTTATCATTTATTTACCTTTGCTTAATAAATTTACATTTTTAAAAATGTATCACTATTTACAATAATTACTAATTGATCATTTATTTACTATTATATTGTTGATTTACTATTATACGGTATATAAAATTGATTTTTTGCTATAATGCCCCGATTTTGGAATTTCCAGTTGTGTGTTTCCAGAGCTCATGGCTGTGAACCCCGTGACCACAGGGGAGAAGGAGGACGTGTGGGTGACTCCTTCAGTCCAGCCTCCTTCCTACACATCACAGGCCTCACGGCCACAGGGCGTGTCCCTCAGCGATAGCACTGCCAGCCTGCAAGCACCTAGGAGGCCACAGGAGGGCGCTGTGTTGCCAAGGCCTAAGAGAGCCCTGGACGACTGGTCCCAACCTTGTCCTCGGCCGGGTTCTGCTTATTGTGCGCCACCGCTGGGGAGTCCCAGTGACTGATAGTGTAGCAACTTTCAATAAGCACACGTAAGTGAACCTCGGCACTCTTTACTGTAACCTACTGAACAGTTAGAAACGAGCTCTCCGGCGGCAGTGCAGCGTGCTTGCCTACACTCACTTCACTAGCAAAAGACAACCGGCAGATCTGGATCTGACATCAAGCAACACTTAATCTTTATGTTACAATAACCTACAACAGCCAGCAAAGTGATTTGACCCTGGTTTGAACTCGCGCCACCTGGATTATTCAACTCAACACTCAGATGGGTGAGGGGATGTGTCGTTACCAGCTGAGCTACAGGAACTTGTCACAGTTCAGTTTGAGTATGGCAGGAAAAACGCCACCGTCGTTCATTTTAGATAATTAACCTTAACTCAAGTATGTCTTGCACTTTAGCAATAGTATTTTTTTTGTTCTCATACAGAAATAAAGACACAGAAGTGTTTTTCAGCATGCGCTCAGCTTATCGATTAGTGTTCAAAATGACCGATTTGGAAACATCAGCTCAACTGCAGGGTTTTCCCCCACCCCCCCCCCGAGTCCGATTCGATCAGATCTCAGAATGCAGGCTCGGCCCGGGTGGGTACTGTACTTATGTAACGGATGAAGCGAGTCTCCTCCTGTAAGCATGGAACATTGGGAACCTTTGGGATGAAAAGAGCTACATAAAAGGCTTTTTTCCTAAAAAAAAAACGTTGTGGTGCCAGCAAGGCAAAAGCTGTGTTGCGCAGTAAGGAATTGAAATTCAAGTCGCCACGCAGTTTCCAGGCCTGCGAAGAACTGTTTGGAAAAATTGAAAAGCACTCTGCCGCTCCAGTATTTCACGGCTCACATCATCCCTGTCAGTTTGTTTTGTTTGAAGCTGAAACAGCCGAGCTGGAAAAGCAGGCACCTTTTGTCTCCTGTTCACAGGTGTTATTCTGTGATACAAGTACAAGGAAAGAAAGGCACGGGTTCCATTCACATCGCCCTCTTTAGTCAGGCAGCTAGTTTTGTCCTTTTGGCATTTATTTAATCTCTGCCGTTTTTTTCATGACATGTGAAAATGGTACAAAGGTACACATCTCATCCCTGTATGCAGATAAGAGATTATCAGATATTCTGAGCCCAGTGTGAGAGAAGACATCATAGACCATTACTATCTGAGCTGCTTGTCATTCTTACTATACACTTATCACACCCAAGCAAGTTTCAGTACTCCAAACTGCTTTGTTTCTTTGTTCTGCTTTGCTCATCACATATCATGTTCTTAGTGGTACCCAACTGGTTTGGAACTGCAAGCTTTTTAACAACGCATCTTACTGCTGCAGCCCCAGCTCTACACAGAGAGTGAGGGCCTGGAGACACACTGATCTGTGAGAGCCACTTGGCATTTATCTTGCTGAAAGCTTTATCACAGTGCTGTACAAGAGGGTGAGTACTGATTGGAATAGCAGTGTGTCGCTCGCTGATGTCACAGCATGAAGCTGTGGAAACCCTGGCTAGCACAAACTTAGAGGCTCTTGGTTAACCGTGTACCATCATCGATCATAGTAACCTAATATAACATGGCCCCAGGCTCAAACTAGTAACACCTTCACCGAACATCTCCAATACTGCTCATGGTTTCCCCACAGTCGTCTACCGACCAAGCAGGTCGCCTGGCCAAACAAATGTGTGAACGCTGACAAAACGTTACAAGAATCCATGTTGGAAAAACTGCTTTGCAGTGAAACACCTCAAGATAATTCGTGAGCCAGCAGCATCTACGGTACATAATCACACAGCTGTCAAGCCTCACCCGTTGGTACCACATCCACATTTTGGTCTGAAAATCTCACTTATTTGCCTCAAGTCTAGTCTGATTAAAGGAAATGAAGTAATAAACATAAAATTGGGCAATTACCATAGAGACTCGCCATTCCTTTAATTAACCAGTTTTTTTTTTCCTGTGTGAGGTAAATATAAAGCTGAATCATCGGGTCACAGACAGTAATTGTGTGTCTTTCGTTGCTCGTGACAGCTGCCGAGAGCCATCATGTGTGAAGAATCATCAGGGGAAGGGAAGCCACTTCATTAACAACGTGAAAATTTTTGTTTTTGCCTCAAACGAGTGAAAAATAATAAACAGCACCTCAGTAGCAAGTGGAACAGAAATAATTGTTTTAATTGAGCATTAAAATGAAAACATACAATTGACCCCAGAAGTGAATAATTTTATGGTGACCTCTACATATATTTCCTGGACTGAGGCTCAGCCACACCAGGGATGGCGACACCAAGCCTGGAACAAATGACCCAGCCTCCTCCCTGAAAATGACACTAATCGAGTCGTTCAGGGGTCCCATTTTTTCTACTTTTCAGGTAAATCAGAATGGATCCCGAAACACTGAGATCTCAAACATCGCTCTGCTAGCGCCCGATAGATCTGATCAAGAGTTGTGTCTGCATTAAACTTTGGTTCCTTTTCCTAAAAAATGCAGACTGAAAAATCGATGGTCTGGACTGGTGATTTTGCATTTGACTCAAAGGAATCTGAATTTCTGGAAAAGAAGGACTGAATTGACCTGTTTAAAACCCTCATTTATGTTTTTTGATGTTGAAGGACTCTGATAAAGGGGGCAAAAAGTGGCCTTCGTTTAATGTTTCATTTTCAGCCCTTTTCAGTGGTGATTTTAAAGGGTGACTGCAGTAAGAGTTCAAGATGATCATCTCATGTAATATGCGTGTGTGCAATAAGATTATAGGCTTGGATAAGACGTGAACTAAGAGGATGTGTCTCACAGAGACTAAATGAAAAAAAAAAACAGACCAGATAGCTCCTGTGACATGTCTTTGTGGCCTTTTCGTATATTGACCTTCAGTGTTTCAACCCTTGCACATACTGTAGCTGTATTTGGGTAAGTAAGAGTGTCAATTCCCCACAAAAGTCCCTTCAAACTGGACAGCAGTGGAAGATTCAGTGTAACAGATTGGTCTTGCAGATCCACAGCAGAAATGCCTTTCTAGATCTGGCTAATCCTGGGAGTCATTTCTTTTTTATGTGCATAGTAGAAACCTGGAGAATACCTGGTCCTCTTCTTGGGGTAATTATTTTGTTTTTTCTTGAACATGCAAGCTTTTGCAGTTGAACACTTGTGCATCGCACTTAAAGTTCTTATTTATAGTGCCAGATTTCCCATTAGGCTCTGTTGGCACAGTACCTAGGGCCTACGAAGGAGGAAAACACTATATGAAATAACAAGCTTGCGATCGACTCTAGGTGCTCCAAATCAATAATCATACGCTATCTAGCGGCTGTTCTAGAAACTAGAAGTATCGAAGTGATTGTCGCTTGGCTTGCTCCATCAATCAAGTGGTTTAGCACCAGAATAGTTTAAAATGCAGCATGTCAATCAACGTAATTCAATTGGTGTTTACCCTTCTTTTTGCACATTTCGGAGTGAAAGTGCCTATGGCCTACGACCGGTCCTGCTTATTTGTGAGAGTCATGCACCCTTTAGATAAATATTAACCACCTGTCCTTGTGTGCCTACTGTGCTTTGGAATGTAGATCCACAGATTGTTTGATACACAGGCTTTTACAGAGAGTAAGAGAAGCACTAGAGAATACGTCATTTATTTTCGTTCGTTCGTGACACAAAATTAATATCACTGTGATGCAAATTTTAATTTCAGTAACTGCAATGCCTCAGGGGGGTTCAGAGAGGAAATGTGTATTTCTGAACTCCACATTTTAATCACAAACCTTCACAGTATGAACTAAGGAACCTGTAATGTCCAGCACCTGGTTCTCCAGGCAGGAAAACCTCAGAATTTCCCCAAACCCCTCTTCAGTTGCAGTCTTATTTGCATCCCTGCAATTTCAAGACATGAAACAGAAACTCTGGCTCTCTCACTTCGACTGTGGTACTTTTTTTTTAGAAAATGATGTTTTTTCATGGTTTTTTGGTACAAAGAATTTTTTTCGGAAATGCTTGAGGAGACACATCAGCAGAAATTATCTGCTGACCCCTGGTTAGAACAGTTTAGCACCAGAGATGACTAATTATGCTCTTGCAGCCTTCTTACGTTTTACATTTATTGCTATTAAGCCAACCCCATATATTTTGAAGCTAGCTGGTGACACTGCAAGTGCATTTGATAAAAAATGTAGATATGCGACAGCAGATTTTATATGGAGAATAAAAAACGAGTACCTTCTCTGATAGTCAGAGAAAGTTATTTTCCTCTACATATAAACAAGTACATCTTTAAAGTATTTATAAAAAATTTGATTTATTTTTGTGTTCAATAAAGGTGGTTTAAAAAACAACTGAAATGTTTAGGTTATTTTTTCAAATATTGTACTGGATCGTACCAAATGTAGTCTAACAGCTGTGCATTAAAGATAAGATATACTCATGTTTGGTCAGTGTTTTATAGTTTACTTCTGCTGCGCTTCAAATTCAAATAACTTTGTGCCAGGTTTGAATACAATGCATAGGACAACATTAATTTGTGGTGGAAATATTCATCTTCTGCAGCACATTTGAATTTTCCAACATTCAGCTGCCTTGTATGTTTTGTGAATTAATATCCCTCTGTGCACATGTTCTATCTTTAAATGGGACCATCAAAATTACATGACATTAAAACTCCTGCAGTATGTTGACTTAGTTTTGCAGTGTTTGTGAAGTGGATATCTTTACATATCACTGATAAAGGGAAAACTTCAAACATTGAAGAATATACACAGTCAGAGCTCAATTGTTCTGTGCACAGGTAATGTCCCGTGCATGTTTGCATAAGAAACCATATAACCATTGCTATAAACAAAACTCCTTTCAAACTAGAGCACTGCTTATTCTTGGAAATATTTGTGGGCTTACATTATTTTTGGAAATCGCAATTCTGCCACATAAGCCTTTGTAGGCGGACCAGCATGATTGATTTCCCCAGTCTTTTGTTTTTGTGGACCAACAACAAAGTTGCGCGCTATCCTATTTCTGAGCACTCGCGGGTATGAGATAATGATGTCTTACAACTTCACGTTAACTGCATGAGCGGCATCTTTGCAATTCAAGACATCAGTATTTTGACAGCCTAACCACTGCCAACTGACTTAAATGAACTGCGCCGGTTTGCATCCTCCCTGTCCCTAAGCTGCTCTAGACGGATGTGTAGAGATAGGCAGAGAGGTGATGGAGTCAAGTTTGTCTCCCTTTACCGCTCTGACTGCTTCAGGTTCATCCACTAACCTGTAATCACAACTGCAGAGACAGAGAGCGAGGGAGCGTGAGCGGCGTTAGTAAAAGGAGCACGATTAGGCACACAAGTGAGATGGAGAAGGAGGAAATACAAGTCGATCTGCTGAAGACAACAACAAAAAAGACGAATACATACAGAACAAAAATCGGAGCGATTGACCCACGCTTACGTACCTTCTCACGCACCAGGCTTCGCGATTTAAGAAAAGCAGTGCCGACTCCTCTATCCTGCCCGGTGTGTCTTACACACTCCTGTTTTTAACCCTCTCCACTATTAAATTCCGTGGGCGTGCCCGTACTACACTTCGTCCTCACCTGGGGTTGGGGGAGGTTGTGTCAGTATTTACTCAGAACGGGAGGAACAGGTCTGGTGGCTCCGGAGTGTGAGTAGTCCTCTGTGTGTGTTGTGATACAAGTGAACCACCTTTACTGCTGTACTTTTTTTGGAATGATTTGTATCGTGAGATTAACTCAGGCGGCGTTGGTGCCCAAATCTTTATTTTTAACTTCACAAGACAAAGAGATGTAGCATTATATTTAAATCAGGGAGACGCGGTAGGTAACAGCTGCGGGTCAGGGACTGCCTGTCTCTCATACCGGTTTCCAGGCAGTATCACTCTGACTGCAGAGCGACCCCCCGGCTGTTCCCACCTGTGCGGGAATTTCCCGTTCAGCTTCACCTGGACCTGCGAGACACCGCACACGCTCAACAAAGACACAGACGTTTACACCGTTAACATTCCTGGCAGGTACAAAGTAACACACAACAATGGGAAACTTTTTGCACACTAAATCCCTGACGTATTTAATTCCATCATAATCGCGGTCAGTGTAAACTGACGTGGACGGGCAGTATCGTGCTGTTAATGTGGTGTTATGTACGACTTAGTCTTGTAGGTAATATGATTATAAACATCGTGAAGACCCGTGAATTATTGATCAGTAAAGCATGCAATCCATTCCATTAAGATAACTCGATTTTTGCTTTCACAGGACCTGTAAATTGAAAGCAGGGTATTACAGTTGAATTGATCAAGTAAAATACCCGGGTGTATAAACAGATCGCCTTGCATAAAAGTGTCAACCAAGTTAATAGTTATAATAATTAATAATAATAATTTCTTACACTTATATAGCTCTTATATATCTCTTTTCACAGAAATATACCCCAGTGTGGTTTTAGCAATGCAGACTGAACTGACAGTTGCTTTCCGAACTGTCTAGGCTAAAACAGTATTTTAAAATGCTCAAAGTATAACGTGTTTTTGTTCAATTTAGCTTTAATAAATACAATAAATTAATAACGTTATCCAGGCATACAGATGAAGCCACGTGTGCTTGCGTGTGAAACGTAAATTTTCATCTCGGCACTTATTATTGCAAAATGCCAAGCGCTGTTATACTATGTAAACTTAAAACGTAAAAACCCCTGTTTGCATTTGCCTCCTTTTAAACAAAGACGGCGAATATTTAAAAAGCAGTCCGGTGTTATTTTACAAACGCTGCGTAGTGGTGTGTACTGATTACGGAGGGGAGCGCTACCTCCTGTCGCCGACCATGGGGTGTGAACAGGGAGAGCTCGGGGTGTCCCCTTGTGTAGGAGCAAGGTCAGGGGGTAACAGCACATCCAGGATCCGGGAGGGAAGCGGACAGCTACATAGCCCCCGGGGAACGCGTGAGAGTCCAGGCGACGGCTGTTTGCCTGGCTGTGCGGTGAGACACCGGTCGCAGGGAAAGGCCTCTGTTCCTGCCTCTGTCGTCTCCGGGCTCTCTTGTGCCGGCGGTCCGTGTGCCCGAAGGGTCTCGGGGCTGCCCCCTGTCGAGAGCCCTGGCAGGGGGGGAGGGGGGTCTGCCTTCGGTCTGCTGGCCGGGCTCTGCCCATGCCTGTGGCTCACCTGAGGAGACCCAGGGGTCTTCCGCCAGGGCTGCCACTGCTGCCGTCGTCACGGTCACCGCTTGTAATGTGACAGGCTCGCTGCCGGCTTCTGTTCGGCGTGCCAGGCGGCGCTAAGGGCTGCGCCTCTAGCCCCCTAGCAGACGAGCTGGCGCTGGGTGGGGGTCTAGCTGGGCCTGGGGGTCCCAGAGGAAATCCAACCCCAGGACGCACGTTGCCTGGATTGGGGGGGGGGAGATCCAGATCGGTCCCTTAAATTGCTGGTTCCCTGCTTCCGCTATCACAGGAGTCCACCCGGGCGTAAGGGGTCTCTTCTCCTGTTGGTCTACCGAAACTCAGATCGGTGGGTAGCTGTGGGCATCTACGAGTAGGAAGTCGGGGAGTAGGAACGTCGTCTTTGACCGGGTGTTCACTAACGCCTGGCAGGGATCTCCTTCAGCTCTAACCCGAAGGTGATGGTATAGTTCGGAATGCACCGCGGACGAGAGTACTCCTCTCACACTCTCTGGTCACTAACGTGACCTCGCCCGAGTGGAGCGCAGGCCTTGACGTCTGCTCAGGGGTGGGAAGATGCAGTGCGCTCCTCCAGACTGCTTCCAGGTTCGCCGGGGCGGCTGGGCAGACAGGGGGTGAGGCCGTATGAGAAGTGGCGCGGAGTCGGTTATCCCTGATTGCCTTCCCAGGGGCCCGGTCCCATGTCGCACCCTGCTGTTTTCTCGGCGGCGTCTGTGCTGAAGTCCACTGGAAAGGGCGGCTGGGAGATCCCGCCGGCTGAAACCACAGCGGGGAACAGGCCCCACACCCAGATCGGTGGAGGACAGCGGCACAGACTAGACAGGAGGCAGCTTCACAGTGCAGAGGGATTAATGGCGCTTTTGATTACAGAAGTGTGCTGCTCGCCAGGGAGAGATAAGGAGGGAGGGGGGGAGCACAGCCTCTTGTAGCTCATCATGCGTGCAAAGAGGAAGACAGCTGGGGGTGCCCCCTCCTGAAGGGTGCAGGAAGTGAAGCTGCCAGGGTGCAAGGTCAGGAGTTAACGGCACAGTCCAAGATCTGTGGTGGGGGCGGACCACAACATTTATAATAATAACTTAGTATTACACAATTAAATTCTTCTAATAAGAGAACATAGCAGGGCGGGTGAAAAGTTTCAGATTATATGATTAAAGGCATTGATCTGATCCTAACAACGTCTGTTGTGCTAAACAGGAGGTCTATGAACTCGAATGGGAAATAACGGTGGCTGTAAGCAGTTTTCCACAGAGCACAGCCCAGAAATGCACCAACGCCGGTGAAATACAGTCAGGTGGTACCTCAGGCCTTTCAGTCCGTCCTCCATCATTCATCCCACGCGATCCAGCGAAAGCAAAATGTTTTCACACGTGGATTTCCCAATTCTGATAAAAAAAATTACAACTTCGGCTCAGCTGTGCTAGTGAAGAAGCTTATTCCCCTGGGTGTCTGTGTGTACGAGAGGCTGTCCTAAGGAATCTGCATTTAATTCAGCAGGAGTGATGTTCTTTTTGCCCAGGAAACCAGCCAAGGCCAGATAAGAATGAAGTGTTTGTCTTTGGGAGCAGTAAAAAAGGAGAGGCGAGTGTGAGGTAAATGACTTTGTATGTTTTCAAACCTCACCACCATTATTGAGGCTCAGTATGAGTTCAAAGAAATCTGAAATGCTGACGACAAGGGGTCTTAAAACAAAAATATGAATAAGCATTTGGCAAACGCAGCCAGGTTTTGCCTTAACTGAGGCTTAGTGGCAGTGGGCAGCCATGTCTTGTTCAGTAACTCTGTATCCAGTATAGAAAGAAAGTCTAGTATCATGATTCTAAGTGTCTACGACTAAAGCCCACATATCAGTCCTGAGGTCCTTTCAGTTTCTTGTATACCTTTTTTATTTTGCTAGTCCTTGAAATGACAGCAGTTTCTAATGAATGATTACGAAGGTATAACAAGAAATAGACCTGGGATAAAAAAAATGTGGTTTCAAGTTTTTGAATCTTCCATTCTTGTAACTGAACAAAATAAAACAATCCGGATGCTGTCTGGAATTTCTGGCTTTCTGAACAAAGTAAGGGAGCGCAGTGGTCAGTTTTACTGCCTCATAGCGCTGGGGCCCTGGTTTTAATTCCTGGGGTGCTATCTGTATGGAGTTTGCATGTTCTCCCTGTCTCTCCCTGTGTTCATGTGGGTGTCCTCTGGGTGCTCCAGTTTCCCACAACAGCCCAAAGACATACTGGTAGGTTAATTGGCTTCTGGTAAGACAGGCCCTGGTGTGAGTGTGAGTGTATGTACCCTGTGATGGACTGGTGTTCCATCCAGGTTGTATCCTGTCTTGCACCCGTTGCTTGCTGGGATAGGCTTCAGCTAGTTAGACAATGCATTGATGAATGACTAGAATGTGAATTCAGGACAGTTTACAGTCACAATCCTTATTTAAATTGAATTGCTTGATAGCTTGTTTATACTGGGGTGTGGTGTGATTTTAAATTCTTTTTAATTTAATCTAAGTTAATAGGTTCCATGGTCCCTTTGCAGATGGGCAGCATTCCAACAGTTTGTCAGTTTAAGTCTAGGTTTCCTGGGTTAATTTCCACCAAATAAAATATTTTAAAGATAATTTGATTCCAAGCCAAACTTCAAACTGGAGAGTGGCAGCAACACTCACTCCAAAGCACACAACTACCAGCAATTGTTTTCAAACAGAATGTGCAGACATTCCAACACCATGAAGCAACAATACCACTGGAGTCCATAATGGACTGTGGGCACAATGCCAAACTCCCTGATACCACCATCGACCCACCAGATCTGCTTGATATATTTTTCTGTTGACAGAAGCCGCTAGTGAGGGTGGACAGCACTGGAGAGTTTTCTGCTTCACAGTTGTGAATATGTCTGTTTGCCTAGTGACTTCTGTAAAGAACCCAATGGCTCCTTTTTTGTCTTGGTTTTGCATGGGTGTCCCTTACCTGACAGAATATTAGGCCTCCCACAGCTCTTTGTTGTCTTATTCCTATATTCAGCCACTTAAGTCAATTGGGAACAAATTACAGTTCAATTACAATGGCAGCCTGGAGACCTTTTCCTACTGCAGGGTATTTACTGGAGCTGTTTTGAGTGAAATGTCTTTGTCAAGGGCATATAAAAGCAGTCTCACCCACAACTGTCCAGTCCAGAATTTAATGCCTAAATTGAGTAACAATTTCAAGGATCTCTAGTTGAGGAAGAACTGCCTTTTCTAAATCTGTGTTGACTATCTGATTGAATCCTGCTGCCAACTAGATGATCCTTTGATTAAGTTCTAATTATTGTTTCCCTAAGCTGACATGTAATAATGTCAGACATGCAGGCTAATAATTACTTCAGTTTTATCACCCTTTATACAGATTGGTGCTACAGTTTTCCAGGCAATAGATATTGTCCCTGACCTGACTGACTTTTGGAAATGTTTTAACACTCTCTGAATAACATATTTTCCTTTCTTACATATAATTAGCAGAATACCAACAGACCCTGGAGATTTCCTTTAAATGCTTATAATAGCTGCAACATCTCTTATGTGCTAATACTAATACAGAACTTCCCTCCTTTCCTGGCCCGAGACATGATGTTATCTTCTTCCTCAATAAATATCTAATTGAATCAGTGAATTAATACTTCAGCTGTTTCTCTTTCATTATATTAACTTTTCCCATAATTTTTCTGATTATCAGTATTTCACATTTATCATTCTGTGGCTGTTGCATTACTAAAAAAAAATGTTTTTGCCACTGTTGCAATATTATTTTTTTCTCAAATGAAATTTCCAATATAATGTTTTACCTATATGTGCAGTTCATTATGTCCCATTCTGTAACTGTTTTTTAATTAGATTATTACCGTATATAGTTCTTTTTATGCTTGTTTTTCTTTATCTTCTTTATCTCTTTATCTCTTAAAAAAACACTTTGATTTGCACATAGGATAAATCAGTTTTGTGTTTAAAGTAGAATACACTGTTGCTATCCATTTGGTACTATATCTGTGTATCAGTATAATACAGATCAATGTTATATCCCAATCTATTTTCACAAAATGACTCATTTCCTTCTAGTCTGTGTCTCTGAAATTAAAAAAAACGTTTGCTGTGGACATCTCAAGTTTCAAAATATGTTGTACTTCAAAGTGTACAATTATTCTCACATTTCCCTAATGCCTCTCATGTTTTCTAGTTAGTAGCTAGTTCAGTACAGGCAGTGGTGTTCAGACAAACTTGGTAACAATATGGCTGATAGCTATGCTGGCCATTTCATTTTCAGCTTCTGATGTTTCGGAGGGTTTTCCCCTGTTAATCGGATGGCACTCTCCCATCGTAATCAGTTCTTTTTTTAAACATTTCCTGATTTGCTTTGAATTTGAATTAAATTACAACTTTATTGTAGTGGATATGTGATTTTGGTGGGCTGCAGAATACTCTTAACAAATGGCAGTTTTAAGATTTTTAAAGTTTAGTCTATATGTTCAGTGAGACTCTTGATACATTCAAATTCAGTTCCTCTTCCATCCTTCCTGTCTCTCTGGAACGCTCTGTATCTGCTAATGTTTTATTATCACCATCACTCTCTGTTAATAATAGTAATAATTGCTTTCAGTTATATAGCGCTTTTCTGGACACTCCACTCAAAGTGCTTTACAGGTAATGGGGATCCCCTCCACCACCACCAGTGTGCAGCCCCACCTGGATGATGTGACGCAGTCAGAGTGCACCAGTACACTCCCCACACACCAGGTCTCAGCAGGGAGGAAAGCAGAGCGAAGAAGCCAGTTCATAGATAGGGATTATTAGGAGGCCATGATTGGTAAAGGCCAATGGGAAATTTGTCCAGGACATCCCTAGGTAACACCCCTAGTCTTTTTGAGAAACACCCTGGATTTTTAATGACCACAGAGAGTCAGGGCCTCAGTTTTACGTCTTATCTGAAAGACCATGCTTTTTTATGGTAAAGTGGGCACTAGGAACACTATACTGTGGCATTAGAACCCACACAGACCTCAGGGTGAGCGCCCCCTACTGGTCCCACTAACACCTCTTCCTGCATCAACCTTAATTTTTCCCAGGAGGTCTCCTGACCAGGTTCACACCTGCTGAGCTCCAGTGGGCTGCCAGCTGTGATGATATAGCTGCTGTTAAACTTGTTTCTGTAATTCCAATCACATTCTAGTTATAGGTGAATGAAGTAGCTTCGATTTCTTGCATTTTGTTGTATATCTTGGTTGGTCTTTATAAGGTTTGTTATTCTCTTGAAATCTCTTTTTGCAACTTTTTTTTGGATTCCCTACCTTTTCATTATAATTTAAATACCTTTGAATTTTTCTGAACAACCTTGTAAAGCATGTTCATCCTACACAGTATGTTTCAACGGCCTTTGCTATAACAATTCTAGATTTCACCATGTTCTCAGCCTTGTGCTGTGTTGATAGATCAATATTTACATTCGTCCCTCTGTATGTGGTGCTGACATGATCCCAGAGAAAACCACTGCTCTAGTCTGGCTCTTTAGTTTGCTTCCATGGTTATTGGACAATGTTAGGTTGTGACTGATATCATACAGTGATACTGTATATACTGATGGAAAAAAGAAACGCAATATTTTCTGGAATGAGAATACTATGGTTATAGCTTAGGTACTCTCACAAAAATTTGTGAATTTGTTTTAAGCCCTCTGACCAGCAATACAACTTGTGCAGTGAGGCATTGCAACTTGCCAATCACACGAAAACTTGTTAGGTGCACTTTTACCCAATGAAGTCCAGGTGGAACAATGCAAATTCAAAGCTGAGGTCACTGCAAGAAAAAGGCCACACTTAGTCAGTTTCCTGTGCATTTCATAATGCATCAAATGTCACCAGAAGCAAGAGAGAGGGCCATTGGCATGCTGCAGGCAGGCATGTCATGTGCCAGCATTGCCAGACACTATGGAGTAAGC